TCTCTCTTTCTATCGTATTCCTGATCTCGACAGTATCCTGCCAAATAATGTACAACACAATGCTTATCGTATAGTAAATCCGACAGTTTCATTATGGTAACGGATGGAAATGATGATAGGAACAAGAATGACCTGAAGATGCCTACGTACGTTTCACGGATGAAATCAATAAATGATGAACGAATCAATCAGTTAGTTGAAAGGGGTGAGTAATAGACATTAAGAAGTGTTTATCTCTCTCTCTCTCTCTCTCTTTCTGCGCATCTCTCCTCCTCCCGGCATATCTACATATATGTCTGTGCATATGTGTGTGTGTCTATGTGTGTTTGTCTAGTTTGTCCGCTGTGCGTGCATGTCTGTACATATGTGCCGAGTGCCACCCAAGCATATAACACGCGTCCATCTACGCTTAATACCAACCTTGTATGTGTCTGTGTCTGTGGGAATCTCTGTCTCCATAGATAAGAGACATGGGGAGGGAGAATGGAAGACGAAAAATGAGGATAGAGTAGCGTGCAGGAAGAAGGAGAGTAGAATACGGGTAGAGAGTAATAAATGAGATGAAGTGGAGGGAGTGATTGAGGGTTAGGTTTGTATGAGGATGTAAAATTTGGTGGATGAGAAACGATAACGGGTAAGGATGGAGATAAGGTGGAAAAGATTGCTGGTATGAGGTCAATATAATGGTTACTATATGCGTTTACGAGTGGTACTCCTTCATATATATGTATATGGAGCTTGCCGATATAACGTTTGAATGGTACTTCGCCGTGATTTTACCAATTTACGGGTAATGTAAACCTATGAGTGAATGTTGACTGTTATGTGTTGGTACCATATCTTTGGAAGAGACACATTTTTGGTACTATAATTTATGGCCTTCAGGCTACTAATGTATGGAAGAGACTTTGAAAGGGGGTAATGTTATTATTTCAGGTTGAACAATCATCAAAAATTGGTAGCAAACGGTCCCTCAATTAGTAGTGGTAGTTATTGTCGGTGCTGTAGAGATGAGATGAGAGAGAGGACACAGACAGCCTTTCTCCTCCTTCCCTCCTAAGGGTCATCCGAAGGATAGTATGTTTGATGATAAGTGAACCGGACCGATCGAACTTAAAGGAAGCATTTATTCACTTTCTTTCCTCCTAATTATCGGAAGAAAAGTATGCAGGCATAGATATACACAGACAACATACATACATACACGTACACATGTCTAGCCGAAATTCGATATTATCAATTGTTTCCCGATTTTATAGTTTTATGGGGGTTATCTCGGTGAAAGTATACAAACGGAATAATTCTAACAGTTCGAAATGAATACATGAAAGAATTCAGGATCAAGGAGCAGAAGAATAGATTAGGATCATAAATTCAGGATAATAAAGTTTAAGAGAGAGAGAGAGAGGGAGATTTAGAATATAGAGATGGGTGCTGAAGTGTAGATATTAGGGCTTGTATTGAAGGCAGGATGGAATGTCGATGGGACAGATGGAGAAAGCAATTCCTTGTAACTGATTCCGTCATCATCAACGTCTTTTCGTATTTTCCGGATTCATACCCTTTATTTTTTCCTTTCTCTCTCTCTCTCTCTCTCTTTGTGTTCTCTTTCCGTAAATAAAAGCTATTGTGATTGTGGTTTTAAGCATTATGGGATGTTTATATACTTTGCTTTTCATTGCCTATACAGAGAATTTTCTGTGATGTGGAAGGATATGGCTTCATTTATACGCTTTTCCGTGTCGTATATTCATATCGATTTATTCATCGGTTTACTGATTTTGTTTTCATTTTCAATCTAATCGAAATAGTAATATGAGTGGGATAATTTATTTCACCATATTATATAGGAGGAGTATGTGTGCTGCTTATCCTTATTAATACTTTAGTAAGTAATGAGTACAGTACCCGATCCGATCAGGAGTCTCTTCGGTTGTCTGATCTTTAGTATCTATAGTAAGAAACGGAAAAAGAGGTCTCTTTTACGTGAGAAAACGGAATATGAGAGGAAAAAGTGAAAATTGATGAGATCACAATGCTAGAGAGGAGGATGATGCATCTGTATTTTTATTTTATTTTGCATATCAGATCGTTTTATTACTAGTCGTTTATTAACAAATCCGGACATATACATATATATACATGCGAGACATATATACATGCAAACATACAGACATGCATGCATAGACATATATGTAATAGAATACTTAAACATGCGTGCATAGAGACGCATACATATCTATTAGAAGTAAGTGTTGAAATGAAAGAAGTTTGAAGGCCCAACCAAATGTTGTCTTGTCATCTCATCCAATTTGAACTTGTCCCATGCTGTTAAGGCCTTGACCTGAAGAATCAAAGAGGTGTATTTTTCTACGGAACAAATAGAAGTTGACAACTGATGAAAGGCGTTTTGACGATAAGGAAGAAGAAGGCAAAAAGGGCGTGAATGAAGGAGGAAGGAGGAGGTGACGATTGAACGATGCGCTAATGTCTTCTACACCTGGCACAGTGCTCTTCCGTCGCTTCTGTCTCATATATACAAGCTTTAGATATACACAAGGCTTTAGTATGCTAATTACAATTGTTTATATGTATATGTAAATTTTCTTTTCATTGTAACGAATTCATCGATATTCAACAGTAACAATAACAACAAGAGCAGCGACAGCAACAACAGAGAGAAAAGAAGCAGGAATAGAGGTGAATTGGAAAATTGAAAATATCAGTTTGGTTTTGTCTGCGTGTATACGTCAAAGCTTCACATCAAGTACACAAATAGTTCATCTCAGGGCTTTCTCAGGTATGCTTCTGATTATTGGTCATGTTTTGCATTCTTTGTTTTCGCTTATTTGCTTGCTGTTTATTGTTTGATATAGATAGTTGAAAGTGAAAACGACTTACGAAGAGGTTATTAAATAAGCTATAGTATTATTGGTCTCAGATAGCTAAATTAAAATTGATAGGATAAAAGTGATATAAATTAAAGTTTTATGACTAAGAAGAGAGATATACTGTCTTTGATTTTAGGCGTACAGTGAACAAGACGGATTAAAATTTTAGACTGAAGATATCAAAGTTGAAGATGTGGGATGAAGGAACAGTTGCATGGGTGAGGACATGAAATGAGCCTACAAATTTCGGTCTGAAGACACTTCGTAAGGGGTTGTATAAATACAAATAAGAAGATAGAGTAGGCTATGATTTTGGACTTATAAATGCTGGGCGGAGGAAATATGCATGGATAAATGAGAACGTGAATGGATCTATGGGTTTCAAATCCTGAGAATATTGAGTTAGAAAGGGCTTGCACAGATAAATAGCCTGCGGTTTGGAAAATATTAGATAGAGAAAAGCTTATATGAATAAAATTAGTGGTTTGCCCCGTAGGCGTTTCATTTCTACCTCGTCGATTTTACCTTCCAGTTTCTGTTTGAATGAATTAAGAAGGAATAGAAAATAAAAAAAATTTTCTCCTTGTTAGTACTTTGTTGTTATTGTTGCTGCTGTTTCTGTTGCTGTTGCTGCTATTGCTGATGTTTTTCTTCTGCCGAAGACGATGGCGATAATTTTCTCGTTGCTGTTCAGAACGGCAGATCTTTTGAGGGGAAAAGAAAACGATCGCGGATAGCTAGATGGTTTATGGCCTGCCGGATGAAAAATTATCGGTTTTTTTCTTCAAAAATTTTCAAGTCTGTTCTCCATTTCCTGAACACATATATATACATGTTTGCTTGGTAGAACTTTCTTCTCACCATTGTTTGTTCTATTTATGCATTCAATTTTTCTTATAGTGATGACAGTGCTAGTGCTAATATAATACTTCCTGTCATTTGAGTAGTGCATTTTGTATAGCATTCACAGCCCGAAGGTAATTATTCCAAACACTTACAGTTTTCATGCGTAGAGTCGACCCTAACCCTTCCCTTTTTAAGATAGTTAGGTAATAGAAATGTCCAAAATCCGTCATGTTGAAGATCTGGAGTTCAGTGCTAGAATTCAGTATACGGTAATAGTTGATCGATTAATGCGAAATTAATCAATTATTAGCGCATATCGAATGCCGCTGCGATTTTATATCATCGTTTAATCGACAGTTGAATGTACGATATAATCTGGAATTGAGTATTTTCAATCCTTTATTATTTTAAGTCGTCATTATTAATGTCTGCTGGATGCTTCTTGTGCATATATTTATCGTTAAAGTTCCTATGAATGCACTCATTAATTTGCGGTATTTCCATTCTCTATCACTTATGTATTATTTTTAATCACAGATAAAATAATACAGAAATAGTACAGCACACCGAAGTTATCTCCATCCATGCTTCTTTCTTTTTGCGAGTTTCAGTAATTTCCACGATAAAAATGTAAAAACCATTTCTAAAGCTTATTACTTTATTTCTGCAATCAGTTGTTATATACGTATAACGCTGTTCGTCTCATTTTTTCTTTTCTTTTTCTCTTCTCAATAATCGATCTTTTGTTTGGACCTTTTTTCTTCTGTTCTGAATGATGTCGAAAGATTTTGCAATCCGAATATTAGAGATAGTCGAAGTTTACTGTACTGTTATGAATGACGGCTGAACGTTGATGTCAATATTTTGAATAATGCGTGAAAATGTTGCGACAGAATTTCTTGAGTTATCGATCGTCAAAATTAAAATTTAAAGTGAAAAGATGTGCTGCTTTTCATTCTCGTTTATTTCGTCGGATTAAACACATTTACGAAGTTTACTGAGAAAGTAATCTATGATATATACTTCAGCCAGATTTTTAATGGACTACAATTCTTCCATCTCTGCAATCATTTGTTTGGAATTTTGATAATAGATATCATATCCTGCGTTTGTTATTTCTGAGCTATCTTGACTGAAAAGGGATGAGACAGATGGGAAGAAAGATATGATTACAAAAAGTAAAGCGTCGTTAACCATCGGTTCTCAGCCATCATATCGATTAGTTAACGTATCGTCTCAACCGTTTGAATTTTCAGCTCTTCCATGTCGAATATAGGATCGGCATCTGGACAGCACGGTGACAACGCTACGCTGCCTCAATTTAGTCGAAAACGTAGTTCACCAAATTCAGGTTGGTCTTACCCTTGCGTGATGAAATTTGTTAGGAAATGAAAGTAGAAAACTGGTCCTTTTGAATACCCATTACATGAATTTCTGTATTGGTGTAACAAGTTAAATGTTATCTCCATTAATCAGACCGGCAATTCAACCAATACATAGTGACTCACAAAGATAATGCAACTACCCGTTGGCTTTATAAATTTTGAAGTTACACATATAATTGTTGGTGGAGCACGTGTAATACTCTTTACCATGTTCCACTCTGGTCAGATTGTGTTGTCATTGTTGCTGATCGCATGAATCACCTCGTCTATATAGCAGTTTCTCCACTGCTTGCTTGAAAAATTTTAGAATGTGCTCCTCTTATTGTACTTCAACACTCCATAATCGCCGCTATTCTTGTACTGTTATTGGATGTCTTAGTTTGATTCCAGTGGGATTTGAAGGACTGAAAATCCTCAAATAATACTGTTTCTTGGGAATGGGCTACAGAAATTCATGAACAGTTGTTCGTCGATATTAATTTTTGATTGCTGTTAATACTTCCGAGGGATCATTATTTTTTATTTTGATTAATGGAAGAAGACCGCACTGTTCATCATTTTGATGAACAGTGCGGTCTTCTTCCATTAATCTTTATTGTTGGTAATCGCCAAACATTAATCCTTCATTCTAGGTTCATTGAAATCGGAAGCTTCGCCAACAACTTCAGTTGCAGCTGTGGGTTCATCTTCGTCTAAACTGCGTCGAATTACTCATTCATCAGTGGAACAGGTATTTTAATTTCAAAAAAGCCTATTTTCATATTTGCGTTGCAAATAGTACAAGCTATGTTTCATTCTCTAGCCTTCTAATGTTATCGATTCCAGTATAGTTTCAGTGATAGTTAAACCACTTTTTGTTCTGCACCGTTTATATTGAAAAGTCATTTAAAATGTTGTAAATGAAAAAGAAAAAAAAGTTATGCATTTTCAGAATCCAGAAAACATCCACCTCTCTCGACAGCAAAATTCTCATTTACCGGGTACGTCTGAAACGGGATCGGTGGGTGGGGGGAGTGGACGTTCGGGTTCCAGTCGTTCTGGACACGAGAGTATTAGAAGTGAATTAAAGTATTTAACAGACTTCTTTCCTGATCAAAACCCGAGTGATCGTCGTTTGACCCGTTCGCAACGTCAGTATTCAACTGCAGTGTTAAGTGTTAGTTTTATTTCAAATTTCTTGTAAATTTTAACTGTTTGCTTTGTTCTAAAAAAAAATGGTTTTCTAATTAGAAAACATTGATTATCGTAGTTTGTGGGACTGGGAAAGTGAAGTGACCTCACCTTTGTTGTTTCTCCTGCTGAAGTTATTTAATTGTTCTAATATTGGTTGTCATAGTGTATGAGTTTGTGGCAATGAGATAGATAACTTTGCTTGCGTATTTAACTTTAGAGCTTTGTTTAAGACTGAACTATTGTAATTTTGTACTGTTTTCTTAGGATTTTTAATGTTTTTACTCTGCTTTGGTCGTATTGCAGAGTCAGACAACAGACAGTATTGACAGTTCTGCACATACAAACAGTGGTTCACCGGTGGCTGAACAGCCAAGGTATGATCTTTTTACTCTTCCGTTCTTAGTGTTACTTCATCTCCTTTTTCTCCTTTCTCTTTCACTACGTCATCTTCCATGTTCGTTTGTTACTGAGTAATCTCGTTTATAAAATTGTTTCGGTTTTTGAAGAGCAACTTGGTTTATCACTCATACACGATCACAGCAACTCAAGGAGGTCGGCGGGGGTAATTTTTTTCATAGGATTGAGCTTTGTGAAGTTGTTAGTGATGTGTGCAAAATTTTTTGAAGAAAAATAAGTTATTCCAGGATCGCAAAGGATAGGCCGCGGGCTCGTAAAGGTCGTACCACTGTGGCGGGCCGAGTAGCTACCGGAGCGGAGAGCTCACGTTCAGCAAATAACAGTGAGCAGCAACCGAGTGCTTCGTCATCAGCACGCACTCGTGCCCATAGTTCAGCAACGGGTCTCTGTCATAGTATCGCGTATGTCAGTTAAGCTTTGACTAGCGGGAAATTGTTTTTAATAATATCTTTTGTTTTTTTATTGCATTCACTAAAGTCGCTTATGCTTATGCTAATATATGTGGCATGGATGTCAGCAAAGAGGAAAGAGTACAACTGTTTCGCTAATACTTAGCTATTGGTGATATTGCAAAATCAGTAAATCTTAAGTGTCACTGTGGCGCAGACATCATATAATCATTATACCATTATTTGTCTCCAATGAAACAGTGCACTATATTATAGGCGTTGTGAAAGCACAGCTAATCGTGTTTCACCAACTTTCGTACAGCAAGGCGAAGCGAGTGGTTGTCGTTCGGCTCCGCAGCTTGGTGTAGTTGTGCAGGTTTAAATTTAATATACTTATTGCTTGACTTTCATTCAGATCTCAGGTTTGAAAAATAAATCTTATCGCATCATTTTCCTGTCTTCGGAATCATTTGAATAAGGAGATGGGATTGAAAAGTGTATCGATCTTATGCATGACTGTGCATATCGATTCATTATTTATGACTAGCAATATTGATCCAGGACACAGCAAATAATGCAAGTCCAAATACAGTAACTGCTAGTAACAACGCAACACTAACCGCACCGATAAACAGCAATGCTGCAACAACAACAACTACAGAATTTTCAAGAGCTGTGAACGGTGATGTTAATACTGCTGAAAGTCATTCTTCGCAGTTTAGAAATTTGCAACGGTAATTTTCGAATAGGATTTTTTGAATAATTGCAGTTGATGAGTAGTATATCATGTTATGCAGCATATTTGGTGGAGTACGTAGTGGTAATTTCTTTAAAAAATAGAGCGTGCTTAGAGCACGTTTTGCGAGAATTTATTTTACATAATCACTTAAATGATAATCACTTGACTAGTCATGCATTTATATGGATTTAACATCGCAGTTTCGTGTATATGTATCTTCACTTTACATATAGTACCTTCACTTTTGCTACGTAGACGTTTGTGGTTTTTCTCTGTTAGTAACATAAAAAATAATGGCTACGATAGTTTTAGTTTTTGGCTTATTCAAGCGCTATATTGGATTTTTGAAAAATTATGAACTCTTACTTACAAAAAAGTCACACATTTTTGAAACATTATTTTATTCAGGTCACAAGCTGTTCATACAGCGTCTTCATTTCTGGGTGCGCTTGTACCTCGCGTTCAGCATTTACTTGGTTCAGCACATGCGCATCCTAGTAAGTATTCTTCCCATTTTACATCCTTATTTTCAGGAAGGGATGCCTACCCTTCAAAGTATCATTCATTATATCATATATGTTTGTCAGTTTGTGATCATCGCAGGCAACATGTTAGTTGAGAGGAGAGAGAAGGAATATAATCACGATATTATGTCAAAAATTATATTAATCGATCAGGTTTGATGAAAGTTGTAGATTTTCCAAAATAATGGTAGAGAATGAGGGTTTGAGAGTAAAAAGACTCATTAAGACACCTTAATAAGTCTTTTTACTCTTAAATCTCATATCTATCGTCACTTTGGAAGATGAGGCAGACTTATACAAAAGAACCAAAGTAAACTTATGTTACTGCTTGATGAATTAAAAATTGGAACTGAAGGATTGCATAGCAATTATGCATCTTTATACAAATTTGAGCATGGAAGAAACCATTTAGTATTGGGAATGATTTTTTTTTCGTTTACTTGTTTTGCATGTTGACAGATATTCGAGATTAATAGGCTACACAAGATGCAGTGTCTAACTGTCTCGGTTTAACAAATTTGAGCTATATCAAGTTGATCAATTTATACATATTTGAGACATGCGGTTTCTTACCAAAACGATTGTTGCACACGACATTATTAAAGCGCACATAGCTGATTTGAGCTGCTATCGAGAAAATACTATTCGGCTGTGTACCAGTGTTTGATTAAGCCTATATCATATCATTGATCTAGCTATCAGTAACGAGCATAATCATCTAATATCTCGGTTTCTGTTTTCTGTCCTGTCCTTATCATTTACGGTAATCAATGTTGTTTCTCCTTTTTTCCACGACAAACGTTCTATATATACATTTCTACTGTTGAGCCCATTTGTTTAGAATTCAAGCTGAAAGGTAAAATTCACGAACTATTTAGATGCGAAGAGTTTATAAAGGCATTTCAATTATAATTTCAGGCTAAGTGCATTTCCCTTAGCCTTTATAGGATAAGACGATTGGCAGTAATATTTTTTTGAAAGGTTTGAGGTGAAAGTTAGATCAAAAGTAGAGCTTAATGAGGAAAATATGCAATAATAAGAAGAAACAGGATGCTGAGAAGAGCATTATATTCTTAATTTTGTTGAGTAATTCGATGAATTAATCCACATACGAAAGAACAAGCGATAGGTCAGATTATGGGGAAGATAAATTTTGCAGAAATAAATAAGCTCTGTTTTATGGAAATTTTTCCTCGAGACAATAGGTTCGCAAAGTGAAGGAAATTAAAATAATTTTTCATTTCAAAATTTGGTATAGTTTCATTTCATATTAATCAAGGTTGTTTAGAGACAGTAAGAAGTGCAATTCAAAGATGTTTGAATGTTCTGTTGAGTTTGGATAATTTATGGCTATAAATTACATACGATTTTTCTACGAGATACAGTTTTCTTGAATTTACACTGAATTTACACATAGGTTAAATTCTTGGCCACAATATTTCTGTGAGATAAAATTTAGTTCGCCATAAACATATGGCTATCATTATGTGCAAGATTTTTAATGTAAAGTGGCAGTAAATTCAAGGAGAACACTTATATCATGTTGTTTATCAATGGGTTTGATAATTAGTTATAACAGCTCAAGCTTCTAATGAAATTTTGTTTACATGCGATTATTCTGTCAAATTTCCGATTTTTGAACTTCATAAGTCTAATTTGTCGGAACTTGAAACTACTAGTGGTTAGGGAAGAAAATTCGAAAAATGAAAACAGGAGTACTCAATAGTACTCAGTTTTAGTTCTAATAACGTTCGTACATTTAGGTTCAAATAATCTCCAAAATAAGTGGACCAAAGGTGACTGCCTCTGATGTTTTCACTTTTGTTTTCATTCCTGATGATCTTTCTTTTTTGCGAGTTATTACAGCCTGAATTATTCCTATTCGGGATCGAGATCTTTGGGTTGTTATTCAAGATCGTTATTACTTGAAGAAATTCGAACACAAACAATATTTTGCACAAACCTGTATTTGTGGCATAATTCATATATTGATTGAGCACACAAACGGCAAGATGTGCTGCTGCTGCTGCTGCTGCTGCTGCTGTTGCTGTTGCTGTTGACTGCTGGTGGTGTTGCTATCGATGCTGCTGTTATTAACATTAACGGTAGTAGTATTAACGGTACATAAAATATTTGAGGGACCAATTAAAGAAATGAAAAAAATGAATATAACGAACTATTCAAAGGGAACATTTCAATGATAAAATTAACATGTATTTCTAATTTGATATTTCAAAAATTCTGAAGTAAACCAAAAAGGTCAATTATGCTTTCATAACTGACAACTGACCAGCTATGGTCAGATGCTTTCATACCATATCTTTGCTCTTTGCTCAGGATAGGGTTATAGTAACAGCAAATTTACTGGAAACGAGTAGATGGAGCTAGAATTGGTATTCTGGAATACGAGCTTAGTAGATTAGCGGGCCAACTTTTCCGTTTCCAAAGCTCTATGAAGATTTGGTCGATATGCTTCGGGCTTATATATGCACTTCCTTGAAAATTGTCGTACTACTCGGTGCCAAGCTATATATTTCCGGCTTACTTAACCGCAACCGTTTTTTGATGTCAGAGGGATCTGCATTGGTTGAAACTTGCTTGAGTTCAGTATCCTTTTGCAGTAGTGTAAGTTGTGGTGTTGATTAGATTTGCAAGTTAGAGCTGAACTTGATAACTTATCATATTGAATCTTTTTTGTGGTGGTGATACAAAACTCTGATGAGATGATTGTCGAATTCCACGAAAAAAAAGATGGGTTGTTAGGCTATATGTATTCTGTGGTATACGTCAAGTATATCAACCACTATACTTATGCATCTTAAAACATGCATTTATTTCATTTGAAATATTTGTGAAGCGTTGTGCATGTGGTATTATAGTTTTTTCTCTCCTGAAACTGTATGCATTCAAAAAATAGATTTTGAGTTGAAATTTGTGTAATTATTGATTTTCATAATTTAGACAAGATGTATATCTTTTACAGTTCAGCTTTGGAAAGGATAAAAGGAAAAAAAGAGGAATACTTTAAAGGATAGGAAAGGGTAAACGTTCTGGGAAGTGCTTGTCAGCTGTTTTATCATGTATTGGTTAATTATGATGATAAATTGCTGTGGTGTTTTACTTTCCAACTCCCAACTGTTTTAGTTTTTTTCGCATTTTCCCTGCTATTTCATTTTCTTTTTTTGAGGGGAATTGAATAACACAACGATATAATGCGTTTTTTTGGAAGAAGTTTTAGATGTGCGAATGTTTGGGATCAGTTTTAATGGAAAAATGCGAAAATTTAAATAATCAAAATAGCAAGAAATTTGTATAAAATCTTTTCTTTGAAGGAATAAGAAATGTTTGACATGAAATTAGTAAATTTCCAAGCAGTGATGTGTATAGACAGTAATTGTTATAGAGCATATAGTATGTCAATTAAATATATGATTCCGTGTATGATTATATATGATAATGGTATAACGTTTAATATACATATGAAATGCATATATACGTTACGTGTTAATCTTTCATATACATAAGTGGTTTTGGCTTTGAAATTTCTTACGCAAGATATTTTGATCACTTCATGAAAATTTTCCGCAGAACTGGTTTGTCTGAAAATAATTTCCTGTTCTGATAGGGGAAGTTGATCTATTTCTGTAGAAAAGTAGGAAGGTGCTATCTAAAGGAAGACAGATGACCAATCTGGATAAAACAAAGATGGAGTGATGGAAGCTTGGGAAATGTATAGCGGTAGTGGTGTAACAAAACTTCTTTATCCATATCGATTCATTATCCAACTATGTCACCTGTTTCAGTTATTGTTATCTGATTGCTATAATCATCGTTACCGTAACGATAAGATGAGAAGTTGTTATTCTTCTTTTTCTGTTAGATAGGAAGATAACGTTTGATAAGAATAAAACTTATAGAGGTTGTTATAGGAGCTACTTCATTCTACATAATGTTCCATTTTTCCATATTTTTATGTTTCAAAGATATTGAAGATTTAAACTACTACATGTTAGTCTCTTTTTTTTTTTCAAAAACTTCTGTTATATTCCACCTTGTAGGATAATAGTTTATTCAAAACTTATTTGTTTTAATTCTTTGTATGTTTCAAAAATTAGTGAAACGAATGTTGACTGTCGTTATTTCGGCGAAGATTTCGTTATTCCGCCTGCTTGAGTGTACAAAGTTTGTTGTTTTTTGAGCCCACCAAATGTTTCAGGTTGGAAGTTCTGGTACTTCACCGGTTGATTCCTGCCTAAGATCTGAGAGCTCAAAAGAGCTCTTTGAACTAGAGAGGAAGAGTATGAAAGAAGGAACGAAGGGCAAAAAAGAAGACAAAAGGAAGAAAAGTAATGGGATATAACCTATTTATGCTGTTAATGCATCCATTGTCAGATCTATCAAGTATTTGAGGATCTATGGGGGGGGAGGGCAGCAAGCTGGAAGGAGTAGGGAAGGATCTTTTCTTACTGTTTAGTATCTTGAAACAAACTTGAAACACGACTGCTAGAGTTTATTGACTGCTGCAGTTTTAGATTTGCTTGTCATTATCAATCATTATCATTCTTTTAAGCAAGAACCATTTTTTGGGGAGCCCAAAAAATTAAATCCTGCTAAGATAGTATACTTATACTAGTGTATGTGCGTGTGTATGTGAATGTGAGCAGTAATATATTTTTAAGTATTTTCTTAAAGTTCATTATGATCATTATGTGCAAAATTTTTATGTTCGACCTCCTAGTCGGTAAGTGCAATAAAAGTTCCAGGTGAGTGTCTTTTTATGTACTTTACGTAAAAATCCGAAAGGATAAAAGCTATGAATTATTTTATGCTTAGAATACGTAGTAATAATCTAGGAGTGTAAAATTGATGAGAGCCGATTTGATTCTTTCATTTTTTGATTTATTTAGATGGATCTTTGGTGCGGATTTTAATTCTAATAGTTGTATGTTGTGAAGTTTATATATATATATATATATATAGCTACTCGAACGTTTCTAAATATACTTTTTGTGAAATGTTTAACATAACTTACAAGCAAGATAAACAGTGCTTATGATGTAATTGGTGCTGATAGTGATAGTGATATTTGCATTCTGTTGTAAAGAGTAACTCTTACTAGTAAATGTGGGGTATGTTTTATGCTATGAATGGAAATTTCGTAGTCTAAGAAATAAAATTGAATTTAGACAACGTATGGGAATAACCGGGAAACAAACAGTTAATGTCGAACAATTAGTTTTGTTTCTCTCCTGCTAAAAAAAGTGCACTTATGTGTTCGTTATCAGAGGCTGATTTCATTTTCATGAAATCATACCGATTTATTAATTGTATATTTTCAGCTAGAACGATTAATTAATTAGATATTTCAGATGCGCGAGTTGTGTCAATAATGGAACGTTTGCGTTCTACAAGTGAACTTAGTCAACTAGATGCAGCTACCGAATTAGCCGATATGCTACTTTTGGGCAACGAAGAAAGCCTTCCAAATTTGCCAATCAAAGACATCGTCCATGCCCTCATTGTATTACTTCAGAAGGAGCATAATTTTGTATTGGTAAAATGAAGTTTCCATTCATTAAAATATTTTACTGTAAGTGGTAGGCGGATGATATCGAAAGCCCTGTTTCGTACGGAGGTATCTGTTCTCTCTCGATTATGACCGTATCGATAGGTGCTTTGCTTTCGAGCTGGATGACCAAATCAAACATATATCTTGCCAGATTAGTGACATCAAAAAGTCTGCTAATTTCATTTTTCATCATAATTTCGAAGGTTTTAATTTAGATGCTTACGGCTGCAAGATGTATATCAAATATGCTAGAAGCTTTACCTCGTGCATTACCAGTTGTTATCGATACAGTGCCACATCTGCTTGAAAAGGTTTTCATTATCAGAGTTTATCTAGTTGCAGTTGTTTTTTCACTAGGAAAAAAATGGCCAAAAGCTCTCTAACTTATTCTGGTAGAGTAAAAGTTGTCACAAATATATTTTAAGAGTTATGGAGCAGTGATAATCTACTACAAATCTTACCATTTATTTCATGGTGATGCCATTTACGGTGAGCTGAAAGAAGGCCATTGTAGGCTCAGAACTTGCATGTTTTGACACTCTAGGCTTATTCATAACCGTTGGTAGCATACTTAAGTAAATATCTAAGGTAGACCGGACAAGTTTTTTTCATCCCTCAAGCTAAACAAATCACGAAGAGCTGAATATTTTTTCTTGTCCTGTCATTATAAATATAAAAATAGGCTTTTTTCGCTATAATGCTTCTACTCTAACATTGGCATCGGAATTATGAATAATAAGTTTAAGAAAAGTTGTTAGCAGAATAATAAGTAGTGCTAAAGATTTCTCTCTTCCCTAATTCTTCCCAGTTATTATTGTCCTCTAGTTGTTTTCATAAAGGATAAAATTTCAAAAAAGTGGATAAACTTTTTAAGTTAATATTTTCTGCAGTTGAAACGTATCGAATGCATCGATGTAGCGGAACAGTCATTAATGGCACTGGAAGTGATGTCAAAAAGAAATGGGAAGAATATAATGTCGGCTGTAGGTTTTTTTTTTCATTTGTTGTCAATATTCTTTGTTATGGATGTGTGATAATGAAATATGTATTGTAGACTTAAAAAGTTTTTCACATCGCAATATTTTCTGTAACACTTGAAAATGGAGATCCAGGCGTCTGTCAAATTGAAACAAATTTCTATATACCGGCGATAACTAGTAAACGACAGACATTCACAAAAAAGATGATGTGGTGAACATTCAAATTAACAGAAAAACTAATAAAAGTGATCCAGAGAGTTAATGAATAGTTTAATAATGGATAAAAATTACATTTGAATAATTTTCAATTTTGAATTTTTAATTAAGGGTGGCATCGCAGCGACCATATCACATATTGATTTCTTCTCCGTTCCATCACAGCGTTTAGCATTTCAAATAGCTGCTAATTGTGCGACATATGCATCAGCTAATGATTTTTCTCAAGTGCGTGATTCACTAGCTGATCTTACGCAACGACTTCTAATTGAAGTGAGAATGTTTTTTTTTTTTTTTGGAAGTTTATGACAGAAGATATAAATGCATAAAGTTTGTAGAAAAATTGAAAAATTCCTAGAGAAAAAATTCGACAAGGAATTTTATATTTGGTTGTAACTCGGAAATATACAAAATCCAGTGTAAGTTGCAATCCCTTTCCAGGATAAACGATGTCTAGAATCAGTTTGTGTATTATTTTGCCGTCTTGTGGACAATATGCGTAATCATGCTGATAAGTTGCGAGAAATAGCAGGTCAAAATCATGCATTGTTGAAAAATGTGCAACAGTTACTGTTGGTACAACCTTGTGCCGTGGGGCCAAATACATTCCAGTCGTTGATACGAATGTTGCGTTCAATGGCTTCCAGATGTAGTGATCTAGCAGTTGCATTGGTTTATATGGGTTAGTCGATGTTGTTTTCTTTCTGCATGCAACAAGGGCATTTGTATAAATGAACACTGGTAGCTATGATTGTTCGATGCACTAATTATACAATTAATTAGCTGAATGATTGGACTGATAAACAACTTAATTAATTACTATGTAGGAAATATAGTGAGTATTAAGTTTCTGCCTTCACATTTATTTGCTCATTATTCCGAATCATTTTTTGCAGATTTTGCTAGGACTATTAAATTTTTGATTGTTGGATCAAAGGAGGGTGATCATACAACTTTCGAAATTGTCGATCGCCCACCGCAGCACTTACAAGAATTGGTTTATTTAGCTGGGTTAGTTTTTTTTGTCTCACTATCCTAAAAAAATCTCATCTTTTTAATGTCATCTGCATAGTCGCAATGAAGATCAGCATCCTGTAGTTGGAAAATGATTTTGTTTAATTTTTGCGCAATGAAATGCAATATGCAAGTGTCGTTACATTTTTTTTCGTACAGAGAATTGATGCCACGTTTACCGGTTGATGGAATATTTGAAATAGATAATGTAATGCTACGTTCACATGGTACTTATTATGATTTCCAACCGACTCTGTGGTACTGGAGAGATGACTCTAACCAATGGTTACCATTTACTCATTTCGATTCACGACTTATTGAGGTATTCTTAATACTGTTCTTTTGATGAAAGTTTCATTAAAAGTACCAATATTGGTTGCATAAGGATGTTTGCTTATTTAGCTGCTATGTTGGGACTGTTGCTTTCATCTTTTCGTGAATTCAACTTGTACAGTTTTCTCAAAATTTATTTCTTATTTAGAAAGTGGAAAAATCATGTGTGAATTTAGACCAAACCTGCAAGCTTGTTTAGGTGAACAGAGTGCTAGAAATGGGTTTTTAATTACATTATGCTCGTTGTTTTTTAGTAAAAGATAACTAAAATTTAAATAATTTTTCCATATAGCATTATCGGAATTGTGTTTTTATAGATGGCATATACAACAAGTGAAACGGAAGTAAATCTTCAAATTAACGGAAACGTTTATAAAATTGATTTGCAACGAATGGTACAACGAAATCATTCGACGGGCAAAGAGAGAGCTCTACAACGACGAGCATCCGTTTTCAGTAAATTTTATTGGAGCTTTGTTATTTAAGAGAAATTTAACACTTCCTTCTCAAATCCGGAATTCTATGCCCTGTGCAAAGATATTGAATCCCAAGTTTGCTATATCTTCTGCTGAGCATTCCTTGAGATTACTCTAACCTTAACTCGGATGTCGTAATCCGATAAAGCTGACAGAAACGATAACTACCAGTATTTGTCTTTTTTGTAATTTCAACTGCTAAATCTTCGTGAATTGATCAATTCGAGCATTTTAACTCTGTGATATACTAATTGTAAGTCTAGGTGGTTTTGTCGAATTATATGTTAAAAAACTATTCGAACGATTCGAAATGTAGCTAATGAGCACATCTCTAACACAAAAATATATTTTATCGTGTTCAAAAATTATTTTTGCAGAAAGTAAAACAGCATCTCCAGAAGAAGATCGTCGTTTGGAATTGATGAAAACAGAACCAGTGCTTCTAGAACAAGTTGTGCAGTTACTTCTTCCAATATTAGTAGAAATCGATGGCAGCTCAGTAAGTTGACTTCATTTTTTTACAACTTTTTAATTTACTGGAAATTTCGATCGGTTCAAATAATTTCTACATTTTGGATTTTATTCCTTTCCAGAGTGGTCCAGCACTTCGTTATGAAAGCTTGCGTGTGACTTTAAGAATGATCTATCCATCAGATGTAAGAGTGCTGAAAGATATTCTTGCGAATCTTCCTCTTGCTGGACATATCGCCAGTGCTTTGGCTAGTGCACGAAGTAAAGATCTTTGTGTTGTGGCGTCGGCGTTGCAGTTAGCTCATCTGCTTCTGGATAAATTTCCGGATATGTATGAGCCATTATTCAAACGCGAAGGTTGATTTAACTTCTTTTTTCTTACTTCAGTATTTTTTGTGGATTGCGAAGGAGGAAAAGGGCAAGCGGACTGCATGTTGTGGGTACCTTTTCCTATTGTTTGAAATAGGCTTCACATCCGTCATTTTTTCTAGCAGTTTTTTTTGCAGCTATTTTGACCTTGAATTTTTCTACTGGAAAAAAAAGTTTGCAGAAAATGGGAGAAAAATTGCTCCTCTTTTTTGTCAAATAATGAAATGGCGTCTTAATCCAGTTTGAGTTTTTCATGACTAGTTAAAGTTTGTAGGTGTTGCACACGAAATTGAAAAACTATCTAAAATGAAGCTTGAATCACCAGTATCAGCTCCATCGACTCAAACAGCTACACCAGCCTGTGAACAAGATAACGCAGCTGCAGCTACCGGAGCCCGAACTCGAAGTGGCCCGAAAACACGGGCGTCGTCGGAATTGGTGGAAGGAGCATCAGCAACCAGTAAATTTTTTTAGATGAATTTTTTGCACCGTAATGTGGAGAAAATGCAAGTAGAAGTCATATTTCATTTAATATGACTGTTATTTCTGTGACTAATTAAAATTTGGATAGAAATATTGAAGAAGCGTGTGGCGTGCACTATTTAGCCAATATCTCATCAACACCGATCACCGGACTGCACGCAGAGCAGAGCATCAGGGTTATTCCATTATTCAATATGCACGGATTTCCAAGAGATGGTGGTACTATAATTTACCAAACAAATTCAAGATCTGGACGGTTTCAGCTAAACAAAGTGCAAGTACAAGAACTCGTAATATCACACAGTTGGCAGTACCCACTGCTGAAGCGGGTCCAAGCTCAAGTAATGCTACTCGTGTTATCGTCTCACCGAACAGTGGTCGTCATCGTCGTAAAACATCACCGGAGAGGTTTGAATCCTCTCTCTCCTTCTGATTTTGCAACTGTTATAAATTTGACAAAGCGGAGCATTTGGTTTAAATTGATATGTCTACCGGTAGAAATGATTCTAAGGAAATTTTATATCAACTACAAAATGACACAGTTCCAATTGGTTCTCGCTTTAGAATAGTTTTGTTTATAATGGCTGTTTTGTAATGCATTTCACCCGTAACATCATAATACATTTCAACAAATACATTTCACTGATCGCTTGTATCTTGTTCATATTTGAATGAATTTGCAATGGCTTATCATAGAATCATCACCTCTTATCAGCAATTTTAGCACTAATAATCATGTCACCGACCCGAAACTTCATAATTTTGGAGGAATTTAAACATTTCCTTTACCGAATTCAACCATTCCTTTATTTTTCTGAATTTAGTTTTTTTTCGGTAGTTGGATTTCCTGTTCATTGTTCTGATCCCAATTGATTTATTAGTTTCCGAATGATATTGACGATACGAAACCCAACTTACATACCGCTATGCTACCCATCCCTTTAAATCTCTTGTTTAAGTAAGCGAATATCAGTGAAAACTTACTTGCTGTTAATTTATTGTGGAGTAGCAGTTGGACATCATTGATGGTGATGTTTATGTGCAATAAGGTTTATGGTTGGTGGATATGATAACAGTATCCTAGTTGCAGTCCTATATCCCGCAAGGAATCACGTCGTAAAACAACGCCTTCCAATTTTCTTCACACGTTACGCTTGCCATCATTTCGCATGCCGGGCGCATCATCGTCAACCGAACATTCGTCACATGATAGCACATCACCAGGTAACACGCTCTCATCATTTTTCACTGCTATCGGTCAATCTTGGACAACATCGGTACATCATTACCCTTCAGGTATTTGTTATTATTATCCGCTGTAGTCGGATGGTTGCTCTGATGCTTTGGCTCGGTGTGAGTTACGTGTGTTCATTTATTTATTTGATCAATATTTTTGACAGTCCAGAAAATTCTCGTCATCTGATATTTTTATGGAATGGATTTTGTTGAGTGTTAGAACTTTTTTCTACTAGATTAATTGGCACTTTAGGATCTGGTAATTCGACAAGTACACCGTCTTCAGCTCATACGTCTACATCTCGTGGACGTATTTCAACATTCATGCCATCAACTGCTGTGGGAAGTTCATGTTCTGCTGTTTTGATGCAGTCGTCGTCTGCTGGTCATAATTCATTTACGATGCCATTATCGTCTACCGGCGGATCTGCGTTAAATCATCAACAACGTGAAATAATCCGGCAGTGGATACGTAAAGAAGGTTCGTTATTTTCTCAAATGCTGTCTGTGTACTTTGGTTTATTGGAAGCAGCTTAGTAAATTTTTAAGCTTTACTGGTTTATTTGAACATTTATTATGTTAAAGAAAGCTGCGTTTATCGCTTTTTATGTTTCCAACCTTGGCTTACTTTTAAATTATTCGGATGGATGATTTTTTTAAATGTATGTTTTGTCGTAATAATTTTGTGGAATCAAGATGACAGAAAGTTAACTTATATCACGACGTTGAAATATTTCAACATTGCCTTCATTTTAGCTGAATATCTGATACAAATGTATTTTTCAACACCATCGTCTGGTATCGATGGTTCAACTCCCTCACTTTTAAGTCGTTTGACAGCTATTGCTACATCTCTTGCAAGTGAAAAAGATGTTGGGAGCGCTGCACTTACTGGATTTAAGGTGAACTTGCTTCTCGTAAGAAAGAATCACTGTTTTGCTTTATCAGAAGATATGAGAAGAATAAGACAAAGGAAGATTGAGAGGAAGGGTTGAAAAATAATTGGAGCTAGGAATTGAGTCATTTAGTGCTTAATTACAAATTTCATTATTTGCAGACAATTTTACTGGAAAATGATGTAAGCGCCTTTGAACTGAATCATAGCGGTGTACTTAATTCCCTCTGTAAATATATCACAAGTTCCTCACCAGCACATCAACCACCGCATAAAATTCGTCTCAAACGTTTCGTCGCTGTTTTTATGTCTCTCACAGTAAGTTATAAACATCCATCCGATAAAGAATGACATATGTCTTGTGAATTGTTTTACATATCTCATAGTATTTTTTCTACAGTGTGAAAAGGAACGGCTTTTCCATTATCCCTTTCAATGAGTGAAATTTCAGTAAAGGACTTACCATAGAAAATGTTGATATTTATACAAATATTGACATAAATTGCTCACAATATTAGTCAGTTTGTCTACTTAAGGTAAGTTACATGCATATTTAGGGGTATAATATTTATCTGCTATGATAGATCGTGAAGTATTCCAGAGAGGCTGTATTTGTTAATGCTTTAAAAACATCATAAACCTTTTATAAATGTTCTTCACAAGAAAGAAATATATTTTCGAAATTTTTTTAGCCGGATAATCTGAGACCAGCGGATGAATCGGAATGTTGGGCAGCTTTCGAAACTCTTGTAACGAAATTACTCGCATCAGTAGCCCAGCACGAACAGTTCCAGGTTGTCTTTTTTCTTTAGAATTCGAATTATGGTTGAAATAATTCTACCTTTAGTGGTCGTTAGGCAGTTAAAATTTCAGTTGTTGAGTGGACCTGTTAATACATGAATCTAAAAAACGTAGAAGAGTCGGAAAGCATCAGAAAATTGTTGTTTCATCATCAAATTTCGAACATTCATTTAGAATATTGAAATCTGAACAATACGTTCTAACCAATCTTCGAAAATTTTATTTAATATAACATTCATTCAGTAAGGTTGACAGAATAGTATTTTTAGGTAAAAGTTACTGATATGGGTGGAATCGTAACGGGTAGTTCTGGAGGAGCTTTACGCGGTTCACAAGCATTACGCTTTTTCCAAACTCATCAAATTCGTGTATGTTTTTGTTGCCAGGCTGACATTTGCTATGTCTTTCTCAATTTTTAAAAAATTTTTGAGCTGCGAGAAAATTACTTGGGAAGTAAATGTATTTTTTTCTTTTGTTTCAGTGTAATTTGAAGCGGCATCCAACTTGCAGAGATTTAAAAGAATGGAGGCATGGACATGGCTCCATAAAGGTATTTTTATTAGAGTGAAAATAACCACTGATAAGTTGGGTTAACAAAACGACTTGATATCTGAGACAAATAATCATCGGCAATTGACGACCGTTGAAAACACCATTGAATGACTTGATAACTTTCTTCATAGGAATAAAGACAGTATTTTCCTGTACAGGTAGATCCGTTCACGTCAATTTCGGCTATTGAAAGATATTTGTTGGATCGTGGGATCGGTTATGTGCGTGGGGAAGATTCATCTGGTGATGAAGATGGTAGCGATGATGACGAAATGCCTTCAGTAAGTTAATCATAAAAACTGAATGATTTCGGGTTATTTTATAGATTAAATTTAATTTGAGGTTATATTATAGGAAGGTTCGGTATCAGGTGGAAACTCTCAACCCAGTCGCATAGAAATCTTAATAAATGATGAAAAAGTTCCAGGACATATGTCCATTCTACAGGTACATCACACATTTTTTCGTTTTGGTAAAAATTTCGGAAGTTTTTTTTATACTTTCTTACCTGCCTACTCTATGTGGAATCGTCATACGGGACACTGTCGATAGTTATGTGTACGTGAAGCTTTCGAAAGGAAACTACAGAAGATTGTTTCTTTCTCTTCTTATAGGCACTAAGACAATTTGGGCAAGTAAATCTGGGCGATAATGCGGATCATTTCGCTGTTGCGACAGGTATATGGGTGAATACGCATACCCTTTACTACCGGGCTGCTGCACCGGTATCATCTGAAGCGTCTGAAGAAACAGCAACAACAACATCCACAACCAAATCACCATCTGGAAAATTGGAAAAACGAGAAAAACGGCCAAAGATCGACGAAAAGCTATGGATTGGTTGGGGCTTTATTTTTAATTGGATTTAATTAAGTACTAAATTTTGTTCAATTAGCTGGATGACAAATGAAAGGATAGTTTAATCTCTTACTGATATTTGCAAATGGCTTCCCATCAATGATTTATGATTAGGTTTTGATGGCATTATATGCTTAGTTGTAATCTGCCAATTGATATAGTTATTGTTTTGTATAGCTCACAATTTCTCTCAACACCGCCCTTTTGAGGACTTAATTTTTTTCTAAACTTGATTTTCATTTTCGAATTGATAGTAAGGTCAGACTTGATGAGGGAATATTATGCATCGGGAATGCATTTTTATTTTCTTCCGTTTAGAATTTACAAGTTTAAGTTATGAATTTGTAGTTGCCACAATATATCATTTATAAGTCATTTAGATGGAGAAGTTCCGGTTAGCAGATGTCCATTGGATTCGTATTTGACGAATATGTTACCGGTCGATATAGATGATCCTTGTGTACCTTCTCTTGTTCTTCTTCGATGCCTTTATGCATTGAATCGTTTTTGGTGGAAACTATTTGAAGACGAGGATGTACCTCCTACCAGTCATGCACCACTTCTACCGAACACGTATGTTACGTATGTTATGTGGAAGTGTCAGATGGAACCATGCTGTAAGAGAGGGGAGGTGGCGGAAAAATGTCAACTTATGTTAAATTTGGAGAAGGAAAGTTAATAACGTAACACTGAGGACTGAGTTTTTCCACTTGTCTTGGAAATAATGAAGTACTTTACTTAGGCCTAAAGATGATAACTGAATAATGTCCAAAACTTAGAAATTTTATTTAGAGCTTTTCACTCATCAAAGCTTAATGCAAAAATGGGGCGGCAATTATCAGATTTTCTATCTGTCGCAACTCAGCAAATACCCCAATGGACTGCTGATCTAATCAAAGCAGTGTAAGTTATCAACTTTTTTTATTTAATAGTGAGATTGGATAAATCATAACATATCGGACGAAATTTTGAATTAATATCACTCATCAGTATGGGAACTAAGTAGATGATGTGTAAAATCATTAGTAGCTAAATTAGTGGACCAAAGTTGTTTAATGCAATTGACATTGTAAGCTTTTTCGGAATCTTATGTTTGAAAGAGAATTACTTTTCACTTACCGGTGAGTGGCTGTGAAAGCTACTCCAATTTTTAAGGGAACGATTCATGGTTTTGTTGTGTTTTTAAAATTTATTTTTAGGCCTTTTATCTTCACATTCTCATCTCGACGCAACTACCTGTACTGTACGGCTTTTGGACGTGATAGAGCTCTAATGCACCTCGTCAACCAAACGGATGGTGGTCAGGGTGATGGTGAAAGTGGACGTTTGACGCCACGTCTTGAAAGGCGTAAAGTATCAGTGCGTCGAGATGATTTGCTTCGCCAGGCAGAACAAACCCTTCATCATCTTGGATGCAGTCGGTTAGTTACGGATAAATGATTCTGCTATATATTGTATATTTGTGTTTTAGCAATCAACTAAAAAATAATTCCTCTTTCAGAGCGATGCTTGAGGTTGGTTTTGAGGGAGAGGCAGGTACTGGTTTCGGTCCAACACTGGAGTTCTATTCCACTGTGTCACGTGAGATACAAAAGTCTTCGTTACGTCTTTGGCATGGTCGTACTTTGGCTGCAACAGCTGATGGAAAAGGTAATTTATTTTGCGAGTATTATAAAATGTGCACTTTTTGGAGTCATTAGTGTTAGCTGATTGAACAAAAAATTGCTAATGGATTATTACTCAAATATGTAGCTTTCAGTTCCTTTCAGCTACTGTGTTTTTCAGATGGACCGACGACGAATTATATCTCGGCACCGGCTGGTCTTTATCCTGCAGTCTTTTCCTCACAAAATGCTAAACAACGTGATGCTCGTTCAAAGAAATTCGAATTTATTGGACGTCTGTTAGCGCAAGCCTTAATTGATTCACGCATGGTGAGGGTTTTTGTTGCATATGACTTAGTAGATAAGGAAGAGCTTCTTATTAATGATTAGTGCTGGTCTAAATAGGGTAGATTATGTAATGGAATGATCAGTAGAGGAGTAAATGGCTAGTTTAAGTTTTCAATTCATAAAGAGAAAGTTAAGTAAAAGTTAAAGTTAACGGACAGTTAAATCTCTCAGGTCAAATTACTTTGGAATAGCAACATTGGATAGTAGATACCATAAATTTCATTACTATTCAGCTAAGCGCTTTGACGCTAATGATTCTGTTTTCATTGTATGAAACTTATTTTCAGTTGGATATACCTCTTAATCCAGTATTTTTCAAATGGCTTTGCGGAGAAGACAAAATGTTCAGCCTGAGTGATTTGGAAGTTTTCGACAAAAGTTTATATCAATCTTTACGCGCACTAATTCTTACAGATCCAAATGATTTCGATTCACTTGAGCAGGTAAATTTGGAAATGGATATCCGTGGTCCTGTATAGTAAAATGCCACTGTTACATTTTGCAATTTTAGTAACTCTTTTAACCTTATCATATTTCTCGACCTTGTGATTTTTAAATTCAATAATTTCCAGTAGCAGAAATGCTAAGTTTGATAAATACATTTAATGTTGGACAACCTATATAAAGTAATTTGGAGTGCTCAAGTTGAAATTTATAAAAATGGAAGAAGCATAATGTGTTATTTTCATGTTTTATTTTAGTAATTTTGAATGTTTTGTTTTTAGTATTTCACTCTACCGGGTGATGAAAATTTCGAACTTGTTAAAGGAGGAAAAAATCGTCTTGTGACCAGTTCGAATGTAGTTCAATTTGTTAAGGTTTTTTTTTGTATTTCAACTCCAATTGAATTTTTCAGGATCTTTTTTTTATTGTGATAAATAGTGAGAATAACAGTAGTTCTAAGATTAATCAAACTTGTTGTTGATAGAGCCGCTCCATAGTCACGAATGTTACTCTCCATGAAAATCAAGAGAATTGCGTCATTCCAAAGTTTTCTAGAGAAATGGAACAGGACAGTCATTTATCTTCTGTTCTTTAAATCAAAGTAAGCAGTAATGAAAGTAAATATTTACGCAGTTTCACTCTTTCAATATGTTAAAGTGGTGGATCTACCCATGAAATATATGATGTATATTACCTTATATTTGAAAAGAATGGAAAGTACGATATGAAATGTTGATTTTCAGTTGGTAGCCCACTGGCTATTGGTCGAAGGCGTACGACGTGAGATGGAGGCAGTACGTCGAGGCTTTGAAACAATTATCAAAATAGATGATTTAACGTCTTTCACCCCTGACGAGGTTACTTTGCATTTTTACTATCTGTATTTAATGCAAAAGTGTGAGATTTTTTTACTTTCCCTCGAGGTACTCTGTTTTGATATCGTATTGCACAAATAAAATTGTTCGAACCAGTCTAGGCCATTAGACAATGTAATATTTTTAAGCGATGCAGATTTGTTTAAAATTTAAATGGCATAGAACAAATAAGCGGCGAAGATTCATTAATAAACAAATAAATGTTCTGCTTTCATTACGAATGAATTAATCTATTTAACTATATTTTTTCCCAAAATATCAGCTTATTACCTTACAGATGGAAGAGCTATTTTGTGGTTGTTCGGAAGAGACGTGGAAACGTACATGGAATGAATCAGCACTACAGTCAGCTATAAAACCAGATCATGGGTATACGCATGACAGCGACCAGATACGGTGGCTTATACAAATGCTTGCCTCTTATGATAACCAACAGGTTTTGCTGCTTCATTTATAACTAAAGTATTATTGCGAATGAATTAGTGTCTTATAAGTAATGAGCACTATTTTACGAAGAAATTAGTTTTTTGTACAATTATATCCTTTTTATGCAGATCCATGAGCACTAGGTAGAGAATATGATTTGCCACAACACTGAAGGAATTAACATTTGAGAAGTGTCGGTACATTACTATCACTGTGTTAGGTTTTTTCTAAAGGCAGACTCATGTTTAACTCCAGTAAATGGACTAGAACCACATAAATAATTCTGCTTGATAAATTGCGTTATGCAGTTTTTATTCCAAAAATAGGATCGGAAATAATCTCGAAGAATAAACAGATAAGTGATTTTTTTTTTCGTATTTCTTAATTACATTTAATCTATTTTTTTGTTTTTGCAGCAGAGAAAATTTCTGCAGTTTGTGACGGGTTCACCAAAACTTCCAGTTGGTGGTTTTCGTTCATTGAATCCCCCGTTAACAGTTGTGAAGAAATCGGGTTCCTATGGAAATGGCGACGATGAACTTCCATCAGCGATGACCTGTTACAATTATCTAAAAATTCCGGCGTACAGTACCTATGAAGTATTCCAGAAACGATTTGATGTAGCACTGCGTTTCATTTATAGTTTCCATCTAACGTAGTTAAATGTTTGAGAATATCAAAATTTCCTTATCACTTTGATACGTCTGACTGTTATTGCTCTTTCGTGGTGTACCATCGTTCTTATCACCTTTTTAAAGCTAGTTTTTTAAATTATTTTTTCTTAATTCCCTGAAATGGGTAATTTCTTTCAGTCTGTTCCTCTGGGATAACTGGTCATCATTATGTTTACCCTAATTTTTCTCATTATCTGTATATTTTGAGTAATTTTGGTGGTGAAAACTTTATTCTTATATTTCACCACAGAATAATTAATGACCTTGAGTAATAGTAACAGTATTTTTGTAATAGTAGCAATAAGAGTTATTTAGAAATGATGGTAAAAAGCAACACTAATACTCTAGCATTATCGTATCATTTGCCTATTACATCACTTTCTGTTTATGTTATTTCAGTGGTCGTACGTGTATTATACTTTTTTAAAATTGTATTTGATGAATTTCTGAGCTTTCTGTTAGCGGTGCTTCCAATTGTGAATTATTGGCTAATTAATCAGACGATATTAATAGAATCATTGGGCGTAATCTCACTATCTTTTGTCATCGTTTATTTCCATTCTTTGTTTGCTTCTGGAATTTAAGATCCTGGCGATTTCAAACTTTCGATTTGCCAATTATTGCCATGAAGTTTAGTTGTAACGGATTCTTGCTGTTGAATTTAAAGTTTGAATAATACTTCGCATTACGGGTTGGTTTTTAGGTTTAGATATGACACACTTTTTATAAGTAGAGTGAGCGAGCATAAGTTGTAAATTCTAGGGACGTTATTATAGAATCTAACCAAGAAAATGAAGTACACTATAAAACCGTATATATTTTTCTTTTGCTCAAATTTATGATTTTTCACTTAAAGTTTCTTAGATATTTTGTTTAGCTTCAAATAAATTTGAAGAATTCTATGCAAATGTTGATGTTGACATTAGTTTTGGATTGGTAAGAAAATGGCGCACTGAAATATAGGTAATTTCAATAGTGTTAATAATAATGGCCGAAGTTGTTACAATGCAGGAAGGTGATAGATATTTCTTTATTTTTCCTTTTTCTTTCATTACATCGTTATCAGTTGTATACTATATGAACATTGTTGAAATGCCAATTCCCTTGAGATTATTGAAAATGAAAAAAACTGATTTTATGACAAAAGTCACTTTAATCAATTATGTGCGAAGTTTATTATTGTATATCATCGTCATCATCATTATTATTGGTGGATGAACAATATTTGATAGCTACAATTATATACTACTTGTATATGCATCAATCTTTTCCTTCTCAGTTTTTATCTCGTAAATGATTTGATCCATGATTCTTTATGATTGTTTGCTGAACAGAATTAAACTTTTTTTTCCTTTTCTATTTTTCTCTTCATTAACACTGATGTATGCTACTACTGATGTAATTGACATGTTATTTGCATAACTCATATACTCATAACTCTTTTGTTTACTAAGATGTTCTGGTGGGTAATTAATTATTATATTAAATTGAGAAATAATCTAATGAAAATGGGTAAGTAATAAAAGTTGAATTATTTGAAGGAGGCGTGTTTGCTAGTATTTAATTATACGTTCATTAAGTAAGTGGTTGGTTATGTTCGTTAGGTTATTGATTGGAGGCTGAATGTAATTGATTGATGAGAAGTGGGATCAATATCGCACGCATGTTTGATAAATCCAACGTTACTTCCTGTGCAATAGTTTGTTATATATTGAACGAATTTACCTCGTATCTCTGTTATATGCATTAAAACCGGAGTTGGGAAGATGAATATAAACTGATTAAAATTGCTGTGATGTAGATACGTGTTGCTGCTGCTATTGCTTGAATAATCGAATTAAACGAACTATTAATTATAGAAAAGGAATAAATATCGAATTAGATGAACGGGGTATTATGAAAGGTAACAGTTAAGAAATAAGGATGTGATTATTCACAGGAGAGATTAAAAACTCTTGTCGGACTTCCGTTCCAGTTTTATATATGGATGGGATAACAAGCTGATAAGTGCTAAAAGTTGCCTGTTGTTAACAGATGTTATCACAAGGAATAGAACAGAATTATTATGAAATGGTGAGAAATAGGGTGGTGATATATCGAAAATAATATAGCATAGTAAATACATAAGATCTAAAATAATTCCAAAATTAATAGATTTTATTTTTCCAGTGAAATAATAACAAGAAAATTAGTGAAGAAGATATTTATAGTTATGACACGATGAGGCGGTCTGTAAGAAGGATTCTGCCAATAAGTATTAAATTTGACATGACATACTACTAAATGTATCTACAAAAAGCTTAAAAAGAAAGAAGTGGGAGATATTTGAATAAAATGAGGAAATTTAACATGTCATTTATAATTTTGATATTAATTAGCTTATTGAACATTATCATCATTACAATTATCATTCATCACTGTTATCGTTATCATCTATCGCCATCATTTTCTTACTTTCTTCAATAAGAAATTTCTATATACATCTGTGCATTATGTATTCAGTAGCTGAGGAAGTCTTTGGCTCTAAAATAATTTTTATCCTAAATACATTCCATTTATGGCTTGCTCCTTTAACAGCCTATCTGTCTTTTAACGCATTCCATTAATTCTGAAGTAACTGAATGGTTAGAGCTAAGCCTATTATGCAAAATGATGATGCACTTCGTTAGAATTACAATAAATGAAGAGCAGCGAAGAGGAGAAAATTAAAAATAAGAAAGAAAGAAAGATAAAAAATGAAATTAAATTGAGAAATTCATTTTCAATGATAACGAAATGAAGAAACAAAAGGTTCCACCGTAATCAATCACACTACGATAATCGAATAAAATAGGGAGAGGAAGTATGAAATATTAAACAAAAGATTTTAATTACTTAATTTGATGGTAAAAGTTGAAGGAAGAAGGATTAAATTAGCCTTGAACGAAAGAAATTTATTATACTGTTCATTTCTCAGGTTAAATAATATTTTTCAACAGCTTTTCTCTTCTTTTTATCTTTTCAGATGAACATATTATATTTTATTGATAATTGCAATTAATTTAGGTTAATTATTCAATTAAAATTTTAGTCTAAGAATGAAATGAATTTTTATCTTCTTATCCTAGGAAATGAAGTAAATTTTAATTTTAAAATGAAATGAAATAATTTTTGACGAATTCAATATTATAATTAAGTTGTGGAAAAGATAGAGATATTATAGTTATATTTACTTGCTGTTACAATCTAAATGATTAGCTAAATTAATCAATCTTACTTTTTTTCCCTCATAATTAAAGCAATTTTTTATTAACGATTATTTGATATCACTCAATCATACAAGACTGGAAAAATTTTTCACGTTCGTAATTCCTGATATATGTGTGAATCATGCACTTACTATCAAATATATGTTGATATGTAACATAAGATCCATCTAGCAACACTCTTAATAATAATACAATCTTACAATATCAAAATTACACTGATATAATCCAAAGAGTTTATCAATCAATTATTATCAATTTGAATTTTATTGAGAAATGTTGGAAAATGAATAAAGACTTTTCAGAAAAGACATGAGTTAAATATTAAAGTTTTGAAGAATGTTGTGGGTGGATTAAAAATCTCTAATAACATAGAAATTTTATTTATCCATAAATTCTCTCATCCCCCATTCCTTTTTCCGTAAAATTTAAATAATTGAAAGTGAAAGAATCCTCGGAAATGATAAGTATCACTTGAATATATGCCTAAAATTTAGGTCTCTGCTCATTCTTGTGCTTTTCTGCAAAAGAATTTCGTTAATATGAAATATTTTCTACAAAGAATAACTTATATAGATAGATCTATCTTTATATAAAGTTAATGAGAGATGATTCCTGATGATTATTACTTTTATTTTATAATTATATTTCTTCATTTCTTATTCTTTCCTATTTTTATCAATGTTAACCAGTCGTAATTTATATTTCCTTTTAGGATTAACTATTTTCAGCGCATGTATAAACTGAATTTAATTGGAGAGAGGATGAAATAAACCGGATTTCTCTCTCTCATTTTTTAAGACATTCCTAATCTTAATTTATTTTCAAAAGAATTTGTTTCAGTTTTAACTTCTTTTATATGTGTACGATAAAATTCCTATCTCTTAAACATGAATGAAACTAAACAATATGTTATAAATTTCCAATTCTTAAATCTCATAAATAATTATATTTTTACATGGCAATATTTAATTCCTAATTGATCACATTACTAAAATTAATATTTTATAGTATATATTTGCTGTTATTCTAATTATTTTTCTTATAATTTCATTGTTTTTTTTTCTTTACAAATATAAATTGAATTTTTAAAAAGTTGATTTGAAGCAAATCTGATTACACTCTCTTTACATTTTTTTCTTTTATTACCTGAGCGAAATTATGTAAATTATATAATTTGTATTAATTATAATTCAAAAGTAAATATTTATGCATATGTTTGTTTACCTGTAATATACTCCCATCCCATTCCATCCTATCCTATCCTATCCTATCCTATCCTATCCATTAATGTTCGTATCGGTAATATATTTTTTGAATTTTTCAAATTTTTTAAAAAAAAGTTTTGACTAATAAATCAAATATCTATCTTATATATTGTACAAAAGTTTTATTTATTTTCATTTTCTTTTCGCTTATTAATATATTTTTAATTACTGAAAAATTTTTTACGAATAGCAATATTTGTGATAAAAACACAAATTAAATTGAAATATATTTCAAATATATTATACTATTTATTAAGCGATATTATTTGAAATAGTTAAATAATTCTTACCTGAAATAATTTAAATTTAGAATAAAATAAGTTTGATAAACTTAAAGGACAAATTAAAGAAAGGATAAATTTCTGATAATTAAATAAATGATAACAATATTTTCAAAATATTTGATTTATTATTTTTGGTGCAAATAATAATTGATTCTATTATTTTTGGTGCAAATAATAATTCATCAAAT